TTCCAACTCTAAGATTCTGTATTATTCTTTGTCTTTTGTGAAAAAAACAATAAAGTTTAATAGTCTTATATTTAGAGTTTAAATGGAATTGTGGATGCCACAGGTTCTCCTCACATTTAGCAAGCTTATACAGGGGAGTCCCATGGTGTAGATACCATAGAAGTCTATGCAAGCAAGCACTAATTCATTTTTTTTTCAAACTGGTTTCATTGGCTTCAGATGTAACATCAATGCATAAATTGAGCATCAAAAATAATATGCTCTAAAGAAAACTTCCATTTCACATCTCATCCATGTATCACTCATTCCACTGCTAATTTAAGTGTACATTACACTTAAATGTACATGGTAAAGGTTCACTCATTCTACTGCTAATTTTAAGTGTACATTACACTTAAATGTACACGGTAAAGGTATAGTGGGGAAAAAAACCAGATTAGGAATAGATCACAATGGAGAAAATCTATATATATGATCACTAGGTGTCAAAAACAACTTGATAATCATCAATCAACACTGTGATGCACATGTATGTGTGAACCATCCTGTAGCTCAAGAAAATTTTCTAGATAGGTAACAAGATGCAGTGAGATGAAAAGAAGAAATTGAAACTTGACTACTCGTGAATCAGATAGAGTGTCCAAGAAATGTGTGGTTAAATTCCATTTCCCATTTTAGGAATAGATGGAAAGAAGTATGGTAAGTCAAGTGGTACCCCATCAAAGTTCAGTGGTACAAAATGCAATGTATTCTAAGAGTTCAAATTCAATTATTTCAATCTTGTTGTTTTGGTATATAATTATCAGTGCTATTGGCCCACATCATTCTTTTTTTATTTTTAGATTTAGGTTGGGATTTTTGCCTGCTCGATTTAAATGCTAGTGAGGAATCTTAGTATGCAATTCCTTGATATCTGAAGAATAACATTTTTGCCTAGAAACAGGAAGTTCCCCAGAAAGGGGGAAAATCTAAACAAAATAGTCAAATAAACAATAGAAACACCCACTTACCACCCTTCTCCATTATGCTGCTAAAGAAGTAGGCAATCTACCCTACTCTGTGGAAGTCACTAATTTAGAGACATCCAAATAATCAATATCCACTACATTAAATTGTACCTGTTAAATTATAGAAGACAAAACATTATCATGTGAATACACAAAATCTTTAAATGTACATTCAGTGTTTTGGGAATCATCAATTGCTTCTGTTTGTTCAATGTGGCAGTGATGTATATTGTCCTAATGTTTCATTGACAAAGTCTAGTGATAGATGTCTGTGCGCTGTGTTTTTCTCCATACCCATGTGTTTAGATACAAAGCTAATTTTTAAAAATCTTATCGCATGTTGTAAATAACAAATCCTAATTTTTCCCCCCAATATATGCAGCTCCTCCAAAGTATGATAAGATATGGCCGAATATATCTTCCCTTGGGGTTTCTAACCCAAATCAAGGTAGGAGTCTGTAAAATTCCTACTGGTCTATTATGACTCTAACTGCTTTTCATAGAATCAGCGACCCAGAAAAAAAAAATCCTCTCATGCGAATAAGAAGAAAATCTACTATCCAAAACAACCTACTAAGGATTATTATGCTCATAAAAATGAATCTTACATGAAAAGGACATTTTATAATGTGTACAGGTCTTCCTCATCGAAGTTATAAGCACTTCTATAGCTTAAATTGAATATGGTTCCCCTAAGAAGAGGGGAATTGCATAGATATCAGGGTTTGCATGAAAAATAAGTTTTGAGACTTCTTGAGTGCCAGAGATTATTTTTGTCTCCATCAGATCATTTTAATGTCTCTTCTGCTTTGTTTGCTTAATTGAAATGAATGTTATTATTTCAATTGATATTCAGAGCTGAGATTGCAATGAGACCAATGTGTGGTAGTTACAGCAAAACCATATTCTCAGAAAATTTATTTGAACAAAGCAGCATTTTTTTAAAAAAAAGGGGGGGGGGCTTTTCTCTTTCTTCCAAAGAAGTCTTTATTTTTTCCCCCCACAAGGTTAAGTCACATTGTAGATTACTTCCTGTGTATACATGTGTGTATGAGCATGCTTGCATGCTGAAAGCGTCACATACCCAGTATTACAGTAATCGTTCTCTCCGGAATCCCTAGTGCATCAGATCCACATCTGACAACAACATTCACGCATGAAGAATTTACTGCAGGCTGGTGTGATGATTATTTCAGGAGGAAAAATGATGTGGGTTTTAGAAGAGAGGCTGGGGTGAGACAAGAATAAAAGAGGTAGCAAGAAATGTCAGCATTTTAAAGTTGGGTTCTGTAGAGCTTTTGGACAGAAAATGCATTTAGTCAGGTGGAAGTCTGCTCAGTACTTCACATGGAATTATTTTGTGTCTTAAAACAAATGGTGTTGGTGTACAGCTTGCCATCGTTATACACAGGATGTTCCTTTTAAACTCTAATGAATACAGATGGAGAAGGAAATGAGCATAAGAAGATCCAGGAAATAGCTTCTAAGCTAAACAAAATGTATTAGCAATTTGTTGGAGAGCTAGATTGGAAAAACTGCTGTTTTAGTCCTTGATCATAGGAAAGAAATTGAGACTGTCCTAGATACATAAATTACTAGCGGCTAGAATTATTTTAATCATGGGTTCTATATTATATTTCACCATTTCTTTCCATGCCTCTTGGAGAACTGCTGACAGGTTTGTCCCAACTTGGTCATTTAGAAAAGAAAGAGCCTTTGACTGCATTCGTAGTGAAAGGAATACTTTTACTAAAACCAAGTGGTTACAAGATAGAAAAAGCCAGATCTGAGGTTTGAGCACGAAAGCTGCCTACTTACTTTCCCCTTCCCCAGGTCCCCCTTCCCAACTATCTCCCTTGTGTCCAATAGAATTCAAACAAATGGTTTCTGTAACAATTCTGAGATTTGATGGGCTCTGTGATGGTCTGCATTCCATTCCTATGGTTGTGACCTTGGGGTCAGTCAGTCAATGTCTCTGTCAGGCACTCGAAATGGTTTCAATTTCTTTGTCCTTGCTCCCTTCTTGCTAGCTCCCTCCCTCCCAGAATTCACGGCAGTCTAGCATCAGAGAAGCAGCAATGGGGCAAAGCAGAATGGCAGCACTGACAATTTCAGTGCCATGATAAATTAGATCTACTTTGTTTACCATGATCTGCATTCTTTTTACCAGAACTACAAAATCTACCAAACAAAGACTGGTATAGAACAAATTTGTGTTAATGTTAAATGTAGCCCACAAAAAATTATTCCCAGTTATCACAAGCTTTCATCATTTCAGAGTATTTTTATTCCTGTGGTACTTCAATAATTAAAAATGACACATTTTTAATCTATTGCAAATTATTGAAAATAGCTATCTACACTCAGATTCAGCAATAACAAATCTTAGTCCTATAGCTAACCAGCAAAATTAGTATTGAATTCTAGATTGAATTATTTATTGTTCAATTTATGAAAGTTGGCCACTGGCGATAATGAGAGAAATAAGCTTTTGCAAAACACATGTGTTGTAACATAAATGATTGTAAAGAATCTCAAACTATTATTTGAAAACGCTATAGAACTCTTGAGCAATTAAGCAATTTTTGTAGCAAAAGAACTCGGCTATCAGCCAAACAACTAAGTCTTACTGTTCAGGTTAGGTTGCAAAATGATAATTCAATAAATGTGTTGCTACTCGAAATGGATTACATTCTCTGTAAATGCTTATACAGGTGATTCAACACAATTGTAGTTACTGAAATGGGTTAGTGGTAGTTGTATATTAAATAAGTAGAGATCCATCAGGGGAAAATGGAATTTTGTTTCATTTTAAAGAACAAAACTTTAGTAAGAAAATCACATCTATGTCCAAGAGGATACATGACAGTGATTTAAAAATCAAGTGGGGGAAAAGATACTATGTGTCTGCAAATTTTGAAAAAGTTCTTCACATAACTATATAAGAAAAGGGAGAAGACCAGCATGCTTCTCTCCCTTTCCATTTGGGTGGATAACATTAATACTGGTCGGAAACTGGGCTGCTTTCATTTTCTTTGGAATATAAACCAGTTATCTCCTATCTAGACAAAATCTACTAGACCTCTGGAGAAATGTTATGTTCTTATTTGTTTGTACGTACTGCTCTTCTTCCAATCTACCAGATTTCTAGCAAAGCCAGACTCCAATTCATGCAGAGAATTATACCCAATATCTATCTTTCAAAAAAAATGCATCTAGCAGAAAAACACAATATACATGTATGCAACACACACACACACACACATATTGTATAATGTAACAACATAAAAACAAAAGACCCAAGCATAGGTGTATCAAATTAAACTTCCTATAAAATAATCAGTCAAAACATGATTTGCTCTAGGGCATAACCCTCCAAATATCTGCTTTCAGTTATTCCAAATTTAGTCGTGCTTGCTGTTTTTTCAGTCCAAGCTGCAATCCTCAAGGGAGGATTCTTGCATTCATATATTAGCATTTCCTATTTTGTGACAAATATTGCAGCATCCTACAAATATGGAACAGCAAAATACCCTAGTTAAAAGATACATATTAACACACGGTTACTAAGAGTGGGAATCATGCAGTGAGCAATGGAAGAAAGAATTCTTCAGCTGAATCTACTTTAAAATAAAACAGCAGATGTATCTTCTGCAGCATCAAATACTATTGATACAGCATATGAGAAGGAAAAAAATAGTGGGGAATGTTCAGCTTGGTTTGCAATGCGCTCACTACAATTCTTATAACAAAGCTGCCAATGCATGATGCAACAAGGAGTTTTATTCTTTAGTTGGCTTGTCATTGAGCTTGACACCAATTTTTCTTTTTAAAAAAATTATTTAATTTCTTGAATTTCATACAGTAAATGAAAAATTATTCTTCCAGAAAAGGGCAATTAAGTGAATCACAAGACACTTGATTCCATGTAGAGGCCATGGAGAACTTGCAGCTCTGGGGCCTTGGATAGGTCTTGCCTTAATTTCATTTCAGAGCTCTGGTAAAAATCATCTCTCTTATTGCTAGTAACCGAGATGGAGATTTGGGGGTGGGTGGGGGAATAAAAGGAAGGAAACTCAAAAAGAGAGGAAAATAAGAGACTGGGAGAAAAGCCACTTTAAGTCTTAGCATTATATTGGGAATTATACCCTATTTGCACAAATGATTTACAATCTATTAAAAAAAATCTGCTGTAACATATCCAGTGAAATAAACAGATTATTTAATAGGCAGCTTCCTCCTTAATAAATGTCTGAAATAGTATTTGCAACACACATGTTTTCTGCTGATATTTGTGAGATACTCTGAGTAATTTTTTTTTTTTTTTTTTTTGAGGCCACTAACAGTAACGTTGAACTTCTTGCTGGATCATGTGCATTTTGGATATTTCACGCAGTGATGGGATTTCAATGTTTTATCAAAATAATGGAATCATATTGACATTTTGAAAGCACAGCACAGTTGCCTTGACAGCTCCCAGACAGCCTGCCCCAAATGAGCATCTGTCATTCATAGACTGAAAGTATTTCTGCTATTTTGCTTTTTTTTAATCTCAGTATTTTATATTTATAAGCACATAAGTGAAAGATTGCAGTTTTATATGAGTTATGCTATTGTTAGCAATAAATCAATAGTTATGGCATGAAAACTGCAGAGACACTTTCAGATTGATTAAGAAAAAAAAGTGACCTTAGGTTTACCCTGGGGATAGATAGTGAATCAGAATGGCTGTTACAGAGCTGCAGCAAATTAGGTCTAACGCAAAACTTCTAAGTTGATAATGAAAATCAAATTTGTTTCTCTCTTTGTAATGCACAAGGGAAAGAAAGTGAATGATGAATATGCTAGGGAGAGAATGGTATAAAGAATCTTTTTCTTAATTGCAGCATAATTAGGACACAACTGTCATGCAATGTGGTCATGCAATGTGAAATAATCTGGTCCATAGCAGTTCAGATAGCTAGCAGGGAATGAAATCCTTTATCACCCACTGTCCTCTGTGCAAAAATTGACAGAAAGCAGTGCTTATATGTGGGGAGGCGTGGGAGTAACCCAAAAAGAAGGTTTGACCAACACATACACACACACACACACACACACACACACACACACACACACACACATATTCTACGTAGCTTCTTTAAAAAGCATAGATTATCAATTCTACTTTCCAAATTTTATGTTAGAACGCTAGAGATCCAGAAGTTTCTCATATATGCAGGTGTTAACCAGCATCTTCTGGCATTACTTACGGAGCTAAATGGAACAAATCTAACAATTGGTCTCATTTTTCTAAAAGAACGAAATGCTGACACACCTAGAGAAAATGGCAAAGATTTTTCCCCCAATGAAATCCAAAGAAGAAATTATGAAGAAATCTATGGAGAAAAGGTCTGTCAGTTGGCATATTTCATCTATCTATCTATCTATCTATCTATCTATCTATCT